AGGTACTGTTTAAAAGAGAAACTTAAAAAGAATCTGAAAAAGAATATATATATATGTGTATATATGCATATATATATGTGCATATATGTGTATATATATATACCCACACATATGTATAATTGAAACACTTTGCTGTACACCAGAACTTAACACAACACTGTAAATCAACTATACTTCAATTTAAAAAACAGCAACTTAGATATAATCTTTGAACCTTGGATCTTAGGGAAGTGGCATAATGTGGCAGAAAGGACACTGTCTTCGAATTCAGAAAATTTGGGTGACCATCTGATTACGTAATTTACCAGCTGCATGATCTTAGGTAAATCAGTTGAGCTTCCCTAAGCTTAATTTTATTATGCATAAAATGTAAATAGAAATCTGGGCTATTTCAAAGGGTTCTTAAAAGGATCAAATTAAATAATGTATGAGAGAGTGCTATAATTCAAAGATCAGGGACTATATGCACCATGATGGCAGGGGACCTAGTGTGTTGTTTTCAACAGTGTATTCCCAGTGTATTCCTAGAACAGAGTCTGGCATAGTAAACACAGTAAACACAATAAGTATGTATTAAATAAATGAAGGCAATGATAGGAAAAATTTCATTCTTATCACTATTTTCTTACTGGAGAAATGTTTATGGTAGGATAAAGCCAAGTATCAGAGTAGAGTAGAAGTGAGAGAAGCAAAAAAGAAGGAAAGAAGGATTGGTGTCACATCTTTCCTAAAACAGAAGCAGAGGTGGTAGAATCAAAGAAAGGATGATCAAATCGAACAATCCCCAAATTTACCCTTTTTCTTTCCCTGCCCCATTCATCCCACCTCTCAATCCATGAAAATTAATCCCAGTATTAATTTTTTTAAGATTGCTTTTGGGCATCCACCTCTTTAATTTTGGTCATTTTAAGCCATTACATTCAATGTTTTTATTGAAATCTGTATATGTCCTCTCTTTGGTCATTAGGGACAGTGCTGTTTTTAATTTATATTGGATGTAACTAATTCAGAGTCCTCCCTCCTCCTTTTTCTTTCCTCTTCTCTTAGCCCTCTCCAAAGGCTACAGTGGCCAAGGGGAAAGACAGCCAACTGCATGTGTTCCTTGAGAGGAAAATCAGTTCAGTTCTTTCCTTTCTACTTCAAGCTCTGAATGATCCTAGCTAAAAGTCCTATGGGATAGGTGTCTGGTTGAAAATACATCTCACTCTGAATTACCCTTCTTCAATTTTATAGATGTGCTCCATCACACACACACAGGAATTTTATAAAAATGTTTTTCTCTGCCACAGAGGTCAGGGTTTTACAGGCCTTTGGGGAACAGGTAATACACCCAAATGTTAGCTCAACTGAAGAACCATGTTTCCCCACTGGAACACTATGTTCTTGGTACTTGGCAGACTTTGGGAACACCCCAAACCACATGTACTTTAGAGGATGCAGACAGGTCACAAAATTAAATCATTCTAGTCTGGCCAAACACCCTCAACCTACTTCTAATAAGTTTGAATTAATTGATAGCCTCCCCCTCCCCCAGTCACACTTCTTACAGACAATCCAAACTGGTTTTAACTGAATTCAGATAAATTCACCTACTTTTTCCCTTCACAAACACAACTGACAGGAGCAAACAGAAACATTTCTATCTTTAAGGAGCAATGCGGTAATAAGACTTTGGACCTTGAAGCTTACAGAAGACTAATGAGATAATGTCTAAATGTGTTTGAGCTGCATGTATGAAAGGCTTATGGAGATAGGGAATATGATAAATAATGCAAGAAATCTTTGTGTTAGGAAATCTCTTGTCTTCTGGAGGACAAGAGTATTAAATAATACTTTACAAACATGTACCAGCTAATCACATCTGTCAACTCTAGCCCAGGTAAGTTAAAAAGTCCTATTATCCCTATTATAACAAATAAGAATCTTGGTTTCCGATGAAAGGTTTTCCAAGAAAATGCCAACAGGAATCACGGCTGTTAGGAAATGCTTTCATTTTAAGCCAAGCTTCCAACTTCAATTTCAGCTCTTGGTCAGTCTTATCAATGTGAAAGCACCAGTCCTAGCCCCCTCCAACTTTCCACTCAATTCAAGCCAAATGCATCCCTGTGGGATTCTCTTGCTATCCTAAATTGAGAAAAATCACAAAGCACACTCTCTTTGGGGTTCTTGAACCATCAAAATACACTCAGCAAATAATGTTCTCAACACCGACCACATAATGGACTTCAATAACCTAAGAGCTCAACTCAATTATCTACAAGGCTTCAAGCAAGTTCCTTCGTTTAAAAGTACACAAAACCTTTATTTATCCCATGTCATCTTTTATTCCTAACAATGATAAACTGATTTTTTTCATGAAGTCCGCAAAATAACAAATGAGAGAAGAAATTTAGCAAAGAATATTCTGATGGGAACTTCAAAAACATTTGGCATATGCTCTTCTCACAAGTTCCTAAATACCAACAAATCTCCCATTTGTTTGTTTAAAATCAGTATCATTTCATTTTTCAGAATCTTACTTGAAAATAAGTCATTACCTCTTTGAACTCACCCAATCTTAAAAGTTTTCCAGAATCAAGTCACAAAATTTCTATTAGAAAAATCAAAAAGTCTCAGAACTGCAAAGAACTTTGATATATGATCTGATTTAGCCCTTGTCTATAGACAGGTGAATTTGGTTAATAGCATTAAAATTGATGACCTGTGGACAATGGGCCATGCCTGACCTTTTGGGATATATACAAAGTGGTAACTCCCTCACCTCAAAGGAGTTTCCTGAGCACATCACTTGGGTGAGCACGTATGATTGTAAAAATGAACAATATCAGGCTCCACCTCAGACTCACTGATTCAGAAATTCTAGATATTCACCCAGGAATCTGCATTTTAAAAAGCATCCTACGTAATTCTTATGCACAATAACATTTGATAACCACTGTTCTGGTAGGTATGAGAGATGTGCACAAAATAATATTAATACCAGTCAGAGAAGCACTGAATAACAGCTAACAAGGACAATAGGATAAGGATAATAATATCTTCTAGGGACATAAAAAAAATTGGATCAGCATCTTCCCTCATTAATGCCAGATATTTATCAGAAAACTCTAAGTCATTTCTTAGCCTTACCCAGACATTCTTCTAAATTATATTCACCACTAAGTTAGAGTGTGAGCTATCAATTTTATAATAAAAACCCTTAGTGCAGAAACTTAAAAACCTCTAGTGATCTACCATTCTCCCCAAAATGTCTAATACGTTTGACATTTAGTTTGATTTCACTTAGCTCATGAACCACACATTTTAGCCTATTTTCTTCCCACGAGGAGAGTAACGTCCATAAGGAATAGTAATTCTCATAAGTTTTTCCTTTGACAGAAATACAAAAACTACTAAACATAAAGAAAATTTGAATTCAGAAACAGGAGAGATATTTAGGCTTTAAGAATATAAGCTACTAGTAGAATTAATTGGCACAGATTCTCTACCAGACCTAGCACTTTGTACAGAAAAATCACGTAGGGAGTGGATACCAATGCAGATTTTAGAATAGTCTGACTTGGTAGAAGTAAGATGGGTGACTGAATTTTTAACAAGCATCCCAGCTGATTCTGATGTGAATTGTTTTGAAACATTCCAGGGATTTCAAGATTTCAGGAAGCCAAGCTCATGTCTAAACCTCCCTTTGAGTCTAAGTCAATACATGAAACACGGTAGATGGTCAATACATGCATATTTAATTAAAGTACCCTCAAAAGGGAACAAATACGGAAATTCAGTTCATCAAATCAGAGCCCACATTCTGTAAGTTAGACCTGGAGGATCTTGCTTATATGGTAAATTACTGTCCTCCAGAATAGGAGCCACATGTGGTACAAAAGCAGCTCAATGTAGGCTTTTGTTGTTGCTTTTAGAAAGTATATAAAATATTCTGATCACCTACTTTTAAAATTAAAAGTATGCTGAACCATGTGTGGTAAGGGCTATAGTTGACCTAAGGTGGGGTAAAGGAGAATTATTCTTTTGGTCAGCAGGAACAATTAGAGAAATATAATTCTGAGGATCATATAAAATAAAACCAAATTGAATCTGTCCCTGATTACTCCTGATGTTAGGACTATAATTTCCTCATTCCCACAGGAATTAACTATGGACAAATTAAACACTTGTGGTATTATCTAATTACTAATAACTCACAGAGAACTGAGATGTTATCCTTACTTCTTTTGGTGGGGGGGACCAGAATATGATTGGTTTCTGGAGTTGTAAGCTTTCTGTGAGTCTAGGAAATATGAGATATATATATATATATATATACGCAGACATAAATATATATATTTAAATATAAAATACTTATAACATGCTATCTCTCAAATAGTCCACAAACCTGTAAAAGGAGCCCTGCATTAGTACTAAATGACTGCATGACCTTGAACAATTTATTCAGCCCCTCAGAGGCTCAGTTTTCTCAGCTGTAAAATGGGTACCCAGGTTGATATGGGCCCAGGCTCTTTCCACTTAGCCATGATGCTCCTCACACCACAATCCCTAACTGAGGTTTATGTGGGAGGATCACTAGAGATAATTTTCATAAAAGTGCTCCGTAAGCTGTAAAGCACTCTACAGGTGAAGCGGATTATTGTTAGTCTTTTATGAAGCCGAGCTATAAAGATGCAAAGTGACCCAGAAAAAGAAAACAGCGTAGACAAACCTGAAATACAACACCTGTAGTGCCTAGAACATTACCCTGTTCATGGCTGGTAGGTGCTTAGTAAGTATTGAGTAAAGAAAAACACAAAACATAGGTTTGTGCCTCCACCATACTAGGTATGATACCAAGAAGGAATAAATATACCCAAAATCAAAGATAGTTTGATTCAACCATGTAAACCACAATGCCCCAAGAGTCTAAGATCTTCAATTAAAAATTACTTCATATGAAAGAGCATTAAAATGTAAAATATGACCCACCATTTACAAAGAAATGGTTATGGTCTTACCTCTTCAGTATTTCAGATGCAGCCTCGTAGGGATTGCAGAATCTGGGTGAGGTGGCTGAATTTTTTCCCTATATCTGAGAGATCTGCATAATCATCCTAGCAACCTTTAAAAGAAATAACAAATTCTATAGAATATTGGTTACCTAAGCTCTGTTTTGGATCTGGGAGGCTGATTTTTAGTGACAGCCAGATTTTAAGCAAAACAGATTCATCCCCTAAGCTCCCCTCCTCAATACACACACAAAAGGAGACTGGGTAGGGGTGGAGGGGCAAGTGGGGAAGAAGTTATTTACTTAATAAAACAATTCTTTATAAGAGTCCTTTGTCAGTTTTCTACAATATTGAAATGTGATCTAAGTTTAAATATTCAAATTACATACAACTTTTGACATAGACAGCTATTTGTGGAATGAGACAAACCCAAACTAGGAAACAACAAATTGAAAAATGTTTTCTTCTGCATGGGCTTTAATTGCCTCCCCCCCCATTGCAAATGTATTTTTATGCTGGGTAACATTACCAAAAAACTGGGGTGTTTTTTCTATTGTTGAAATGAAACAAACAAGTTTGCCTTCAGAGCCACAAAAATGCCCAACTATTAGAAAAAACGTTTTCCACTGGCCGGTTGCCTCTCCTATCCCCATGCAATCTTTCCTATTGGCCCCTTTTTCTAGGAGGGCCCCTGAGGCTGTCTGATGGAACTGATTGTAAAACCATTTTGTGCAGTGAGAACTAATTTCTTCAAAATCTCAGAGACCGCCTAGAACATGCCCGATCTTTGGCAGAAGTGTATGTGTTTCCTCAGTATCTGATGAGCTGTACGCTGAGTAACTGACCCAGGGTTGCTGGGTCTTTATTTTAAAAAGATATGGGGCGGGGGAGTGTTTTAAAAGATTTAGAGGAAGAAGCTCTCGTCTCTCAAAATCTATTCATTTAATGTATTTGTGTTTTGGGAACAGGCAAAACAAGAGGGCTCAGTGCAAAAATCTCAACCAAACTAAACCTTTCAAAATGAGCAAAAAGCATTTAAGCTCTGTGTTGAGAAAGTAAGCATCACTTGCATGAAAACCTGTCCCTCCCATCCAAAAGCTGCCCAGTGTGGGAACTGTCTCCTGCGCTGCCCTTTTGGCCGGCAATCTTGGAGCAGGGTCCGCGATGGCAAAGGGAGGCAGAGTCTCCTTGAGAACAGGCCCTGGCTTTGTCTCATCCTGCTGTGTTCCTCTCCTCACAGCCTCCTTTCTCACATACTAGGTGCTCAATAAATGTTTGTGGGACGCAGGAAGCGAAAAATCCGAATCTGCCCCTACGCCCCAAGGGCGAATGATTGGGAACGCAGGTTCCCTCAGAACCACGGTCTCCTCGAGTTAACCGAGGCCACCTGACCTCGGCTGCTACGGCCCTAGCAGCCGTTGAGCAACCAAGAAGGCGCGCTGTTGGAGCCAAGATGGAGAGGAGGCAGGGAGCGAGGGAGGCGGCGCCGGCCGCGACCCAGTGGACCCACCTGACGGTGGCGCGGGCTACCCAGCCCCGAGCTCGCGTTGACCAGGCCCGAGCCGCCAAAGCACTGGGCGAGGGCGGAGGCGGAGGCGGAGGCGGGGAGGGGCGCCCCGGCTCGAGCCCGGCCCCAGGCCCCGCCCCCGCTAGGCCTCGCACGAGCCCACCTCGGGGAGCCGCGGGCCCTGAGGGGAGTGGGGGGAGGGTGGGGGAGGGGAGGCCGCGCCGCGCGCGCGCCCCCGCTAGTTACGCGGGCCTCGGCGCGCGCACCTCCCCCGCCCCCCCGCCCCTCCCCGTCTCGGGGGCCCGGCGCGCGGCCCTGCTGACGTCAGCGGGCGGCTGGCCGTGCGGGGTGCGCAGAGCAGCTGGCGCACTCGCGCGCTGCGCTCGCCCCCTCCCCCGCCCGGTCTGTGGAGCGCGCGCGCTCGCTCGCTCGCTCTCCCTTCATTTTTTTTCTCCCCTCCCTCCCAGCCTCTCTCCTCTCTCGCTCCCCCTCGAGCTCCCGGCTGCCCGCGGCTCCGTCGCGCTTTCCCTTTCTCTTCGGTAGGCTCCACCGAGCGATGCTGGCTCTGGGAAACAGCGACGCCGTCTCCCGCTAGAGACCTGCCCCCCGGCCCGGCCCCTTGCCCAGCCCTGCCCAGCGCGCGGGGGTCGGCGAAGGCGCCGCGGACGCACCGACGGCTGAGGAACAGCGATGCAAATACACTAGCAGCACCCCCTAACTCACTCCCTCCACACCCCGCGCCGCCTCCTCCTCCGGCAGCAGCGGCAGAAGGACCCACCCTGCCCCCCACCCCACCCTCCGCCGGCTCCGGCTGCGATTCCTGCCTCGACTATTATTTTATTTATTTTGGGTCGTGCACAAGCCTCAGTGCCTGCAGCTCGCGCCTCCTCGGACCGCGGGCGCCTCCTCCCTCGGCTCCGGAACCCCAGACCCCGGCCACCCTCGCCTCGACACCCCCAGAGCCCCGCCAGCTGCCGCGAGTCTCCGCGGCTGGAATCTTGTTAGAGGCTGTCTTTTTTGGGGGTTCTGGTTTCCCGACATTTTTGTTTTCAGCCAAGGGGAGGCTATCGTGATTTTTTCCCCTTTGAGCCCAGGCTCCGCTTTCTGGGGGGGTGGGGGGCGCGCCGAGCCGGGGAGCCGTGCCAGCCGAGTCGTGCGGGCTGTGGCAGGGAAGGGGCCACCATGGGATGTACTCTGAGCGCAGAGGAGCGAGCCGCCCTCGAGCGGAGCAAGGCGATTGAGAAAAACCTCAAAGAGGATGGCATCAGCGCCGCCAAAGACGTGAAATTACTCCTGCTGGGTAAGGACCGGGACTGCCACCCCCATCCCCCGACCCCGGCCACTCTGCACCCCCCCACCAGTCCCCCCTCCACTCGCTCCTGGGGAGACCTGGTCCCCGAGTTGGCACCACCATGTGCCCAGGATCGCCCACTCCCTCGCATGCCTTACCCCCCAACCCCCCACCCCGGTCCCCTAAGCTGACACTCACCAAATTTTCCCCCGTCTGTCCCAACAGGGGCTGGAGAATCTGGAAAAAGCACCATTGTGAAGCAGATGAAGTAAGTCCCTGTGGCATTGGGATTTGTACTTTTATTAAGTATAATTTTTAAATAATTTTTATTACCTTGCTCACTTCACATTGCTCTCTAGGCCCGGTTTTTAATTCGTGCACACACGCACACGCATACACACACCTGAATTTGACTCCCCTCCCCCAGGCCCTACGTTGGTTCTGGGTCCTCCACCCCAACTCCCAGGGTGGGTGTTTTTTTCTCCGGGCTGGGGTGGAGGGAAGGGGAGCGCCTGTAGTTGTATGAATGACAGTGTCCGCCATATTGATCAGAACATCACATTATTGGCATGATTATGATCATTACTCTTGATTGTGTGGTGTTTCCTGTGTGTCGCTGCGTCTATTTCTATCTCTGTGTCTCTGTATCATTCTGTCTCTATTTCTCTCTTCTCCTTCCTCCACCCCCTACTCCACATCCATAATCCCACTTCCCCCTACTCTTCTCCTGGGGCAGTGATTTTTGAACTTGGCTAAAACATGGAGGGGACCCAGCCCTAGGCTGGGGTGGAGTATCAAGTGTCTGCTGTTCATGGATTTGGTGCTGAATTAGAGGCTGTGGTTTCTACCCCTCCTCCCCACCCCCAAAGGACGGAGGTTAGGGGAAGGGGTGTGTGGTAGGGGAGGGGGTGGGTGTTCAAGCGAATGTGGCTGGCACAGGTGTATCCAAGGTAGAGGTGGAAGGAGGACGCTGGCTGTGAGGCTGAATGCCCGCCCCTTGCTGCTCCCCCACCTTTCTCCCCCATCCTCCCAGCCTTTGCTCTCCTGACACTGGCAGTTTTCGTTCACTCTATGGCCTTTATCAGTGTATTTATTTACACTCTGCATAGGCTGTGTTCCATGTAATCTACCCACAATGCGGATTTCAGGCCCCACTTGCTGCACCACCCCCTTCTGCCTTAGGTATCAGTTTCCCCTCCTAATTAGCTGGGGGTGGATTTGAGTGATGGTTGAAAATTAAAACAAAATGGGATATTCCTTCCCTTCCACACTTTCTCAGTAAGGAGCCTTGCCCCTCCTTCCTACTCCCAGGCTTGCTTCTTGCCCCATCCACTCCTGGTTAGCAGTTCCTGGTGAGCCCACAGGCAGCTTTGCTTGGGGAGGGGGTGACCTTAGGAAAGGGGTGCGCGCCCTTGGGCCTCCTAGACCCACTGCTTCCGTTGGCCTCTCGGTTCGGGACGGAGGAGTTCGTTAAGACCTTTTAGCGAGGATTCCACGTCGCTTTGCTGTGACACCTTCGTGCACACACAGCTCCTAATTAGGGGTTGCTGTGCAGTAAACAAAAATGATTATTTTTCAACTTGACAGAATAGCCGAAGTTATTGCATCCCGTAGGAAAACAATGGAAAGTAAAAACCCCTTTCGCAGAAAGGTGGGTGGGAGACGAAGCATGCTTGTGGTTTCAGAACCAAGATGCAAAAAATCTTGCATGTGTAACAGGCATGACAAGCGGGTTCTAGGCGGCGCCATGATGGTAGGGAGTAGCGACTCGGAGACAATTTCTCCCGTCTGCTTGACGTGTTCTTATTTTTGTTCGAGAGCTCCCTGGGGCTTTATGTGCAGAGGCCCCTTGGCTTGCCGCACCCAAATTATCCACGGGTAATTTGGCCTGGGGCTTCTTTGAAGCTTGTGCAACCCAAATGGATGGGAAGGCGGGGCCTGGGGAATTGCTCGTTGCAACAAGGTGCATGTTGCATCTGCCTGGAGCCCTTGCAGGTCGGTAAGTGCAAGCAGCACCACCCCTTTCTCCCTAAAGGGGACGTTTCAAAACTTCAGAACTCTGTAATCTGCAGTGGCAGGCTTGCAGCCCAGTAGAAGCCCCAGCCACCGGAGCTGGGTGAGGTTTCAGGCGCTGCGAGTGGTGGACAGCGCCCAGCCGAGGCTGGAAAAGTCGAGGAGGCTCAGCTTGGTGGCGCTCGGCTCGGCTCGGCGCAGGCTGGGCTCGAGGCTCGGAGGGACTCGGCAGTGTTCGGAGCCGAGCCTCTTCGAAGGAGGCCGAAGGCATTCGGAAACGCTCGGTTGAGGGAAGCGGGGATGGAAGCGGGGTGTATGCTAGAGTCTGGAAATTAACTTTGCATCTGCCAAAGCACCTCCTTACCTGCTTTTCCTGAACAAGCTCCATAACTTAGGTTGATTTAATAAGAAGTTTAAAAATATATACTGAGTACCCTGAAGGATACCTCGCCTTTTTTATTCAGACAGAGGCACGCTCTCCAAGGAGATAGGCGTGCCATTTTAGAATGAAATTTCCTAATTATGTACTGGGGCAGAAAATCTTAAATGAAGGCTGTATTTAGACTTCTCCGGGAAAGTCTTCTGCGTCTCATATTTGGTTACACAGAGGAGGGAGGGGGGAAAATCAAGCGTTAGATATTTCAGATGGTTAAATCAGACGTCCTGGCACTTTCTCTCTTTTCCCTGCACTCCTCCCTTTATCACCTGACAGGATGCCTTTTTGGAGAAAAATAACAGGCAAAATTGAGATTTTGTAGGTAAAACTGTTAGTATATTTTTAAAAAATACACCAGTTCTCTTTAGGAAGTGAGTTAAGTTTGCTCAAAAAGTGAGTCAGAAAGATTTCTGGCCCATGTAAATTTTGCCACAAGGGACCCTAGTGTCCTGTCCTGAAGCATTCATGAATGGCAGCTTTTCCTATGAGCCCTCCAGCTTGGCTTGAAATAAATCAGATCAGGGCCTTGTGTCAAGCTGGATGCAGGACTTGTTTTATTAACCACAAAATGTGGGATTGGTGTCACTGTATCCTAGTGACAAATTCTTTTGAGCCTTCCCTTGAAGAGGTGATTTTCCAGATTGCCACTTGGGTGAGAGTCACTTGAATCAGGCGAACTGTACTATGGGTGGGGCTGGCCCTGAAAATCTAGGTGGCATTTACAGAACGCAATTTTGGACTTGCCCGGCCAGTACGATTGGTTAACAACCTATCAGACCATACTTACGAGTTAATCAGGATGCTCTTTTATTTCACCCAGGCAGATGAAATTAGAGCGTTCTCTGGGAGTGATGCCCTGTGAGAACTCGATGACTTCCTAATGGGGACTGGGGTTTAATAGCCCAGCCTGTTGCATTGAGAGGAAGAATATTGATATTGAGACATCTCCAGATCCTTTTTAATCAGCATTTCCAGAAGAGCAAAGAGCCACTCCATTCAGCGTACATTCTTATCCACATTATGGCGTGCTGATTAGAAGACGGACGGGGCTTCCATATATGCCTGTAGTAACTGAAATTATATCACAAAGGCCTGGCTGGCAGATGCTGTTTAGAACAAAGTGTTAACACCCATACCAGCCTAGGAACATTGCAGGGAAACTGACCTTTGACATTCTTTTGCTTGATACATGTTGCAGTGGGAAACTTGCATCCATTAAGAGGGCTACATGTTAGACTGTCATTTGAAAAGCGTGATTCTTAATACTTTATTAAAATTTTCATTTGAAAATAGCTTGCTAGGTTTTTTTTCCTTTGTGTATGGGATTGTGAACTAGTGTTTGGGAGCTCTGTGTCAGACAATCCAGAACATTTCCGTACTGAGAAATAAACAATGATCATTGAGACGGCAAAATATAATTTTACACATACCATGAGTAATCAGTGACGTTTTATGTGTGACATTTTAAATAATTTTGCTTGTTAGGAGCTCCTGACCTCACCTGTGATACAGCCTCATCATTTTTGCAGTCATTCAGGGGACTCTTATTCCAATTAATCAAAATTTTAACAGCAAGTGTTAATTTTATTTAATCACCAAAACCCTCTCAAAGAAATCTCTTAAGGCATTATATATGGAATCAACAGAATCACTTTAAGTGACTTCCCATTGTGAGCAAATAGTGACAACTACGTGGACCGTCTACCTGATGAAAATGTAAAATGAACTGTGGAGTTGCTGTGGACACCACAGTTTGTCCTCATTTGAGATGTTGAGTTTTCTGTGATGTCATATTTAGGCTATCTGTTGTCTCTGGAGCATTAAGTGAATTTTTAGGGAGCTAGAGAGTCCGAAGGTAGCAATTGAGGCATGGCTTGCTAGCTGGTAGGCTTTATATAAGTGAACACAGTAAAGTGGAGCACTTTGGATGTGTGTTCCTTTCCAAGGTGCTTGCTCAGTGCCACTGGTAAAACAAAATTTAAGGATTTAGTGAAGACACCATTGCTCATACAAATATCCCAGCCCTTCCAGTAGGATTGGAGTCCAAGGAGAGACCCTACCAGACAGGGAAGACAATCTTAAGATTGCCAAAAGCTGGTGGTTTCCTCCTACCAGCTGACCCTGACTTTGTAATTAGGGTGTTTAGTCTTTGGCTTAGGTTCAGGGCAAGCCTGTGTTCATCCAGCACACCACTGTTTGGCACCTGCTAAGTGGCAGGCATGAGAGGAGGTGAACAGCAACTTGCAGCCATTACTCAGTAAAAGTACAGTCGTCTGAAAGGGCGTTTCCTGCACATCCCCAAACGGTCCCATGCTGGGGCAGCGCTCCACTGAGAGCTCCTCGATCTGTGGACTTCTTGTTTCTGCAGTCATCTCTTTGGCTGCTTTGCTCCCCCTCCCCTTCCTCCTGTCTCCATGTTTATTCAAATGGATGCACCTTGCTCTCTGGAGACAGTGTGAGCGCAAACAGAATGTCAGATCAAGTAGCAGATGAGTTCTCCTTTGCTGATGGATGGTGCTCTCTCCCTCCTTACTGTTCACTGAGCTGTAAATACCAGCAGACCTTCCTGCCAGAAGAGTAGCAAACAGTCCACCTGATCGCCTCAGGAATCAGCTGTGGAATTCTTGAACCTCAGTCACCTGTTAGATTCTGAAATCGAACCCGTGTGCTTATTGAAAGGGTTGTTGCTGATGAGATTAAATGGATGAAGCTTCATGCAGGATTGACAAGACTCCAGAGGAATCCAGAATTTCTAGTCTCTGTGTGGAGCTAGATTAGATTTATAGTGCCCAGAGTCAGAGGACTGTCTTTTTTTTTTA